GGATGATGAGCTGCTTGTGCGTAAAATCGTATCCCCTCAGAGTTTGTTCAAGTCCACAAACCTCTGTCTGTGACAGAGCCCCTCAGACATGGCTACTCTAGTCACTAGCAGATTCCGACAGTGGTTGCTTTCGTAATCGCTTCCAACATAAAAGCTCCTTAACGGAAACACGTCTTCTGGAATCTCTGCGTGACAGTTTCCGGCGAGGAGTGGGTGTTCTTACAGGAGGTCCTGAAACCTCTCCACTGTTTTCGCTGGAAGTGTCTCTGAGCCATCCCTCCAGCTCAGCTCCTCTCCCCTGCTGGTTCCCTCATCAGCTGCTGCGTCTCTCCCAACCTGTGTGAGCCCTTTCACCTCCCTGTTGGTTTCCTCTTCAGCTGCTGCGTCTCTCCCAACCTGTGTGAGCCCTTTCACCTCCCTTCCGTCCGATGGCAGTTCCCTGACATCCACCTCCCCTCCAGGGCCCCCTTCACCCCCTCTCGCCCCCTCCTCTACGGGCGGTGAGGAGGCAAAACCCGGAATGAACTTCCTTCATCTTCCGATGTCTCGAACACTTCTCTCAACCTGTTGCGGTTCCTGGTCTCGAAGTACACCTCCTCCTCAGAGTCCATCTCCCCTTCCCCTTCCGAGTCCGGGAATCCTTCCAACTCCTCCCCTTCATCAGTGGTCCCAAAGTATTCCCTCCGGAACCTCTCCACAGGCTGAGGTTTCCTTGGGAACCTTTGATGGAACGTTTCTATCAATACCTCGTCATTGATATCTTCAGCCATTACCCAAGTGTTTTCTGACTCCGGTTCTCCTTCCCACGCTACCAAATACTCCACCTGATCCCCCTTCCACCTGGCGTCGAGGATTTCTGCCACATGGCTGCTGCATTCTCTTTCTTCTACGATCGGTCCCCGAGTGGCCAGCCCTTCTCGTCCCCCTTCGTACGGTGACAGTAACGACCTGTGAAATACTGGGTGCAGTTTCATGTGGTTGGGTAACCGGAGCCTGAAAGCCACTGGGTTGACCTGTTGAATGACCTCAAAGGGACCCAACCTCCTGGGTCTTAATTTCTTACAACCTCCTTTGAGCGGCAGCCCATGGGTTGACAGCCACACCCTATCTCCCACCCTTATGGTTTCACCTTCCCTTCGGTTCTTGTCTGCCTGCCTCTTGTATTCTTCCTTCGCCCTTTCTAAGTTGAGTTGGAGCTGACGATGGATTGCTTCCATTTCTTCCACAAAATGCTCGGCTGCCGGGACGCTCCATCTCTCCCCCTCTCCCCCTGGGAAAGCCCTGGGATGACACCCATAATTAGCCAAGAAGGGGCTCATCCCTGTGGACACATTCTCGGCATTGTTGTAGGCAAATTCCGCCAGCGCCAACTTTTCTACCCAGTCATTCTCTCTGTCATTGACATAACACCTCAGGTATTGCTGGAGGACACCGTTTGCTCTTTCCGCCTGCCCGTTGGTTTCAGGGTGCCGGGCAGTCGAAAAATTGACCTCCACCTGCAGTAAGCTCATGAGCTTCCTCCAGAACCTGGAAGTAAATTGTTTTCCTCGGTCTGAGACCACCCTCAATGGCACCCCGTGCAACCTAAAAATGTTTTCTACAAATAACTTCGCTGTCTCTTCCGCCGTGACTGCATGCGAGCAAGCTACAAAGTGGCACATCTTTGTTAGTAGGTCTACCACCACCATGATGGCTGTTTTCCCTTTGGACTTCGGCAGATCAGTCATAAAATCTATCGACACTGCCTCCCAAGGTCGTTCTGGGGTTGGTAAGGGTTCTAATAGCCCCGCCGGCGCCCGCCTTTCCCCTTTGGCTCGCTGGCATTGCTCGCACCCTCTTACATACTCACGTACATCTTCCCTCACCTTAGGCCACCAAAATTCCCTGGTGACCAACCACATGGTTTTGTGTTGTCCAAAATGCCCCGCCGTAGGGCTGTCGTGCAACTGCTTGAGTACCCTCCCCCTTAACTCTCCTTCAGGGATATACAGTGCCCCTTTGTAATACAAAGCTCCATTTCTTTCCTCGAAACCCCCTGGTTCCTCTCCATCACCCCTAAGACCTCTGAGCTTATTCTGGGCGTATTCATCATTCTCTGTTTCCTCTACCAGTTCTCTTTGTCCCACCAATGCCGCCCCACACACCCAGCGGTCTTCTGGAATGACATGTCTCTCTTCGGGTGCCCCCTCCCCTTCCAAATATTCAGGTTTGCGTGAGAGAGCGTCCGCCCTAATGTTCTCTGGGCCTGGCACGTAACTAATCTCAAAGTTAAATTTGGAGAACTCCTGGGCCCATCTCACTTGCCGTTGGTTGAGCACTCGTGCCGTCCTCCAATACTCTAGGTTCTTGTGGTCAGTGCACACTTGCACCTTATGTTGTGCGCCAATTAGCAGGTGCCTCCATCTCCGGAACGCCTCATGAATGGCTAGTAGTTCTCGGTCATACACCGTGTAGTTCCTCTCGGATTTGTTCAGCTTTCGCGAAAAAAGGCACACGGTCTCCACTCTGACCCCTTCTTGCCTGGCTGCAGAAGCACCGCCCCAATCGCTCTGTCTGATGCGTCAGTTTCCACTCTCATCGGTTTTTGTAAATCCACATGCAGGAGTTGTTGTTCCGAGGCGAAGGCCCTTTTAGTTCCTCAAATGCTCGCTCCGCCTCCTCAGTCCCCACGAACTTCTTCTTACTGCTGAGACAGTCCGTAATGGGCGCCGTCAGGTGGGCAAAGTTTCGGATGAACTTACGATAGAAGTTCCCAAATCCTAGGAACCTCTGCACATCCTTCTTTGTTTTGGGTGTTTTCCATTCCAGCACAGCCTGGACCTTGCCGGGATCCATGGCCAATCCCTTGTCTGACAGGCGATACCCCAGGAATTCCACCTCCTTGGTATGAAACTGACACTTCTCCAGTTTCACCCACAGCTGGTTGGCTTGCAGCCTGCTCAACACTTCTCTGACGTCTCTCACATGCTGCTCCTCATTCTCAGAATACACCAACACGTCGTCTAAAAGGCCACACAATTCTTGTAAAGCAAAGGCCCCAGGACGTGGTTCATAAACGATTGAAATGTTGCGGAGCCTGCTTGTAGGCCGAAGGGCATAACCAAATATTCAAATGCCCCTAAAGGGGTGAACATAGTGGTTTTCCATTCATTCCCCTTCCTTATTCGTACCAGGTTGTACGCCCCCCTTAGGTCCAGCTTTGTAAAAATCTTTCCCTTCCGCACCCTTGTCAAAATGTCGTCAATCCTGGGCATAGGGAAGGCTACTGGTTCTGACACTGCATTTAAGGCCCTGAAGTCACACACCAGCCTCGGCTTGTTCGTGTTTTTCTTATCCACAAAAACACTGGGCTGCCCCCACCGCCCTGGACTCTCTGATGAACCCTCTCTTCAGGTTCTTGTCAATGAACTCTCTTAACTCCTGCATCTCTCTGTCTGACATGGCGTACAGCTTGCCTACAGGGAGCTGTGCTCCAGGGAGTAAGTTGATTTGACAGTCAAAGGGTCTATGCGGGGTAGTTGGTCAGCTTCCCTTTCGCTGAAGACGTCACGGAGATCTGCATATTGTCGTGGTACCTTCACGTTCTCTGTTACTTCAGTCCCTGCTAGGGTGGCTTGG